GCACACAAAACATTGGAATGAATGTTCAAGATGATCTTTTGAGATCTGGAGTAGAATTTTCAGAATCTGCTCTTCGGCATATAGTTAAGGTTGTTATGTTTAATGACATTTGTTTTTAGTCCAGCTCTGTGTGGTGAGGGTTTGTGGTACCCTGAATTTCACTCACTGCCATGGAATGGGTGCTGACTGCTAGCGACCTTTCCCCCCAGAAATTAAGAATCCTTTGGGAAATTTTCCTGTTTTGTTTCCTTAAAACAAAAACCAGAGATCCATCAGTTTTGTATTCAACAGTTAAAATACATTGGTTTCAACTCATCTATTGCAGTCCTTTCAATGTACCATCACATCTCTCTTCCTAGGTTTTCTGTCTGCATTCCTCCTCCTGTTGGGTAAATGCTCTTTGGATCTTAATTGGTCGATGAGTGGTTGATTATTCTACCACAGGGTGAGTTCCATTTCAGATGGAAGGGTGCCGATGGGCCATAATCTTGCAATCTTGCGGGGAATGGTTTCTTCCCAGTCTCGATTCAACCAGTGGGTCTCTTTCATGGTTTTGAGGTTTGCTCCACATTTTTCTGAGTTATCGATACTGCAGTAACTGGGCACCATCTAATTCTTGTGGTTGTAGAGACTGGTGTTTGCACAGTCTATTAGTCCACTGAAGCGTAGCTATGCAAGGACTAACTTGCTGCTCAGTAGTGTTAGATACCTGACACGGGCTCATTCCTACAGGCAGTGGGAAGCAAGAGCATTCTTGCCAGCACCACCAGTTGCTTGCCTGAGTGAAGTGTGGCAGGGCTAATGAGGGCATAATGATGTTTGGGAAGATAGCATGCCACACTAACTCTTTGTGGGTTGACCAGAACTTTTAATTCCTAGTACACTATTCCCAAGTCACATCACCCCTCTCCCCTACTCATGTATAAACACCAACAATCAAAGGTGGACTCTTGAAGTGTTTGAGGATACGCTCAGAAAAGGAATCTATGGAAAGAGTCTAGAGGGAGCTTAGCCACTGGACACTGTGGACAAACTTCTCAATCTTTCTGCTTCTCAGCCTTCATCATTCGTGAAGTGGAATCAGTAATCCTCATTCTAGGAGAGGCAGTGCTAAATATGGCTTTGAAGTGTGCCTTTCTTGTGGTTCTGACCCAATCTGCTTTTCTTGCCATGGGCGCAGAGCACGGGCTCTCTGTGGAGATGAGACAGTCACACCTGCACACTGTAAGAGGGTGTTCATGTAGAAACGAGATGATGGCCTGAGCTGCCCAAACATTTCTAACAGGTGCCAGAGTCCTTGGTGGGAGGTGTCCCATGGGTGCCATGTAGTTCTATTCCCCCACTTAGGTGAATTTCCTTACTGACCCCCACCCCATTGTGAGAATTTGGGGGAGCTAATTGGAAAAAAGCAGTTATAGTCTGAGTTAGTTAATTGTGCCAACCTGGCCGATAATCACATGTGGGGCTAATTGAAAGGCGG